CAGGATCTGAGCCCGTATTTTGTGCGTTGTTGAACAAGTTGGATGTCCATTCTGCATCGGGTTCTAAAAATAAAAATGCTGTTAAAACCTTGAAACTGTGTTTCGTATTTCTTAGTTTTTATTTTGGACCACTGGCATTTTTTTAAATGTATTATTAGAATTCTTGTTATATTTACTGTCTATTTGTGTTGATGTTCTCCCGTGTGATGTTTTTGTATGTAACGTTACAATTTGTGAACTAAAAAATTCTGCTCAGCCAATTGCGCTCCATAGTTAAAGGAGACGCCTACTTCCTGTGACGTCACACGTAGATGCGGAAAGAGTAAAGGAGACGCCTGCTTCCTGTGACGTCACACGTAGAGGCGGAAAGAGTGAGCTCGAAGCCAATGGAAGCTATGTTCATGAATAATGTAAAACGGCGACGTACCGTTCGCGGACCGAGTTTACTTCGGTATCACGGGGCACGCGCGGCCCATCCCTGACGTGTGACCGTAAGCGCACGTAGCCAACGTGAGTGGATGACATTTAACAAAAGCTACCGCCCCCTTTTCCCACTGTTTTTCCCGTTCGATTGACGGCGACAGCTGGCAATGTGTATCCGGACCACTTGAAGTTCAAGCCGAAGGGTGAGTAGACATCCACGTTCTTAATCGCGAATCAACAACTGTGAATGACTTCCTCGTTCAACGCTGGCGTGTGTCAAAATGCGCCGTGTCCTTCGCGAGTTTCCGCAGCCGGGTTGCAATCAGCGAGAGTAGTCACGTTCGCTCCGTCAAAGGCGCTTTATATGCGTGCAGACATGCACGGTCAATGCTGATAAAACTGCTGCTGGAGTTCTTGAGTTCTGTGCTTGTATTTATATGGTGAGCGTCCGAGCGTAGCTACGTGTTCATTTTATATTGACTGTAGGCCTTCTGTTCCCAGCACTGAAACTAGTGGACAACAAGTGGACAAGGGCATGATGATGATAATGATGATGATGATGGTTCAGATGAGAGTCGCTGAGGTGGTATCCATTATACTCTGAAAAAATGTTGCAGTTTTACTAATTTAAAGGCCTGTCACCGGAATAGTACCTTCACCCTGACAGCTAACAAACATATTAGGGCTGCAACTAACAATTATTTTGATGAGCGATGAATCGGATTAAAATAACACGTTTTAATTTTCATGCCTTTATGCAAAAGCAGGAAATTATTTCAAATTCTCAAATAGAGTAAGATTCCTGCACCTAATGATTATTTTAATAATCAATTAATCTGCCCACTTTCATGGAGCACTACAGAAGTCACATAACACTTGGTGTGGAGATGCTGAAATTCCGAACATTTGGACTATTTGAAATTAAGAAATGTGTCCAAACAATTAATCAATTATCAAAAGTAATTATCGATGACTAAGGCGCCTCGAGAACATCCCAATCCAATTGTGGACTTCGAAATGTTCCAATCAGATACTACTTATACTCAAATGTTGCCCTCTACGTTTGCGTCAATGACGTCCCATGTACCCCCGCATTTCCGACTGAAGTGTAGCATACATTGTTGCCTTTACCTCGTAAATATAAGAATAGACCCTCTTCTCACAAACCCTAAAGCAGACTGGCAACATCTATTTAAAGGTGAATTTGTAATCGATCATGTTCAACAATTGGACTACATAGAGCCTTTTTGCTCGTGTGTCCTCTTTGTTTGGTGCTGTGTCAGCCCAGCACAATTTCCCGACGCTCTGTTATCAGCTCCAAAGTTAACAACCCATTTGTTTACATCAAACATGTTCCAACTTAACATTTCGAGTATTACACATTTGGCATGCCACTGAAAGTAGATCAAGTTTATACTTGATCCAGTCTTTTTCCACATCTGCGTCTTTTTTTTTTTCTGTTCTCATTTTCACCGTTTGTTCCCCAGGTTGCACCATTTGTGCAAGCAGGAACTGAACGCAAAGCCGTGCTCTTAGTGCCAGGAGTTCACGCCTCCCCCTAAACGAGCTTTCTTCATGATAAGACAACAACGATGCAGATAACATGCCTTTTTCCTGAGTTTGTAGTTTAGTAATTAGAGTTTGGAACCCAGTAAGGGGCTACATAGCTTTTCTATGTTGTGAAAAGAACTCTGAGAAGGACTATTGGGGTGGGGGTTGGAGCCTGTTTTAGTCTTGCTCTATAAACAATCTGAGATGGTCAAAGGGCTTCGTCTGGCAGCCTTCCCAAGTCGCTCTCTATAAAAGGCTCCTTTACGCTCCAACATGCACACACAGACACAATGGTGGCCCTAAATTGCGCAATGACCCCCTTTGGGAAAACAGACTGTGGTTGAGCTTTTACCTTTACGCAGATAGACACCGGTTGTCGACGTTCATGACTGTGCAATCGCCTTAGGCCACCATGACATGAACTAAACAGGGATGGGCAATTTAAATGATGGGCTGGGGGCAGGGCAGAAATGTAATCCGCACTGCCGATGGGCCACACAGGACGGCACACTTCCTAATTAAAAGTATGACAAAAATTACATTTTTTTGCTTTCAAGTGTTGAATACATCCATGTTTTCGGAGGACACAAATTTAGCATCTGGTGGTGGGGGGGGAAAAATGCTGTTAGTGTACCTTTTGAGATCGATGTAGTGGCGACGTAGGTTGACATCTTTCATAGCTGAAAGCATCTCTAAGCCAACTAGCCAGATTGATTTGTGTTTAAATTCGGTGAACATATCATCGGCTCCCTCTTTGACCCGATGGACCCAATTTTCTCGACCTAATATAATGACGGCGTCATGCCAGACCTGCTCTCTCTTCTTCTCTGGTGGAGAAGTACAGTCTTAGCTGTGGGGACATTCTCAAGACATGTATGCCATCTAGTGGTGAGCACTGTTATTACAATGCAAACTTGTACCACTTCATGTTCAGAACCTTTAATCGTGTGTCTAGCAGATGCCAATAATGACCGCTGGTGTATATGGACGCAGTTAAGACTTCATATCTCTGCAAGGAGACTGAGCGATAAGATAAAAAGCTTTGAATGCAATCCACTGCCCATGCTGCCAATGATTCACTGACAAGACTCTTCAAAATTCTTTCTCACAAGTCGTGACTCAAGAGCCTCTTTGACAGTTGAGGTAAGCCCTGCGGGGCAATGACTATTTGTTGAAGGTGTCATGATCTCTTGACAAACATTTCCCCTTCTCACTTGCGAACTGGTGTGTCACCAATTTGCACGGATGGGCTTTCAAAAGCACCTTGGTCAATCCCGATTTGAGCAATCCATATTCTCGTGCCAGGGTGAGTACATGCAAGAAGATACTGGCAGTGAGAAGTATTGATTCACCCCCTTGTACTTTACACAAAGGAAACGAGGACAGACACTAGATATATATATTTCCAAATTGCATTCTATGACGTTGCGATGTCGGTGAAATTGATGAATTGTTCAGTCCGAATAGACCAGAGGTATCTGTGTCCCTGGAGTTTTGAGTCCTTCTCTCAATAACTCGCACTTAAGTGGTGTTTTGTGTGCTCCCAGTATGCCGCTGGCTCGCAGCTTATCCGTCACATCCCTGCCTGGGCTGGAGGAGTGGGATGAGGATTTCGACTTGGAGGATGCCGTTCTTTTTGAAATTGCCTGGGAGGTCGCGAACAAAGGTGAGCGTTTGGATTGACTGTTAGGAACCTCACACACCCCCACACACACACGCGCAAGTTGGGTGACGTTCTATCATTTGATGGCACGCGCATCCAGTCGGAGGCATCTACACGGTCATCCAGACCAAAGCGCGCCTGACGTCAGAGGAATGGGGGGAGAACTATTTCCTGGTGGGTCCTTACGTGGAGAGCAACGTGCGCACACAGGTGGAGCTCATCGAGCCCACAAACCCTGCGCTCAAGAGAACCATTGACAAGATGAACTCCAGTGGGTGTAAGGTAAAGTGTCACCGCACATGCACACACACACGCACACGCACACGCACACGCACACATGCCGATGTTAGAATAGAATGTCCTGCCGGAGAACAGGCCCGCTCACTTACTGTAGTGGGAGTGATTGTAGAGTGGGGGCCGCATCAGCCTTCTGCCACAGATCATGCTTCGGAAGTCCCGTGACATTTCCTCGCAAAGGTTAGAGGTTGGCTGGAATGCTCTTCACTTGAACACGTTCACGCAAAGATAATCGAGCGCAGGCTTTGTGCTTTGCAACTCTCGGTAGTGGGTTCATTTTAAAGGGGTATTTTTAAATAAGCCCGTGTAGTACCACTCGGCGGTTTCGATTGACTGCCAGGATAAAATAAGAGTCCGCCAGGGTGTTTCAGTTTCAGTTCTTTATAGCGCTGCGTAAAAGTAACACAACGGCTTGTAAACAAGTTTCCCTCAGCCAAAGAGTTCATATTTT